GAGCCCAAATTTTTAAAAAACTATCAAATCCCAACTTGGTTTGGATATCTATATCTACACTCCTTGTTATCTACATTGAAGTTGCTTTTGTCCCTCATTTCACTCAGAGCCTACGGAAATGCACTCGTTTTAATTTTCATCAAGATAAAGTTGTTGACAGTTACTGGTTGTTCATGACCTTTTTCTATGGGTTAGTTACGGCCTTTATCGGTGTTTTGCCGCGAAATGAAAATGCCATCAGAATAAGTAATGTTCTGCTAACTACATAACCATTCGCTCTTCGAATACAGTTTTCATTTTTTTGTTTTTACTGCTTGCTTGAACCTTGGGCTACCAAACATATACGTCAAATCCTTTGCTTTCCATTTGTTTTAAACATTCAACTATCTTCTAAATGTGCCATTTACTCTTGTACAGTTCCAAAATGTTTTCTGTTAGCCGTTTCTTGAGTAGATAAAAAAATGAAGAAAAATGTCAAGTTTCGTTATGCAAAAATTCATCATATTTCCACTCCTCGGACGCTTAGCTCGAATGGCAGATTCTTGTATTAGCTGATAGAACGTCGCCACCAAACTTGGGTTCGATTTTATGTACATCTTCCATTCTAGTTCAGAAGCTAACACAACATCAGCTGACTGTTCAACATCATTGCTTTCAGTAGTGCTATAAATTAACATCACTCGGATACAGTAATCATTTCGCTTGAATATATTGTTCTGGTAGTGAACTTGCTGAGAATTCCACAGTGTATAAAGCATGTTTCGAATAAAGCGTTTATTATTAAGCACAAGAATGGTACAACATTGCAGCTAATAAAGGAGACATACAAATTAGTGTGGCAACTTTATGCGGAAATGAAAGAGATATAGTTGGGGGGGGGGGGGGGAGGACAAAATCAACGTGAAACCTCGCACACAACTGCATCGGCTCAAGTTGCCACACTACACAGTAGTATACAAAGAACGGATGGATAGAAAAAGACTGATATTGAACTAGACAAGGTTATATGAGAGAATAAACAATTCGGAGATAACAGATAGTGCAGATATTCAAGCTTTATAAGATGCTATAGAGTAAATATACCTACGCCGTTGCCACTGATTTCAAGCCACGTCACCAAGAGTCCTCAACCAGTGATTTCTTTCGTCTTGGGGACCCGCCAGCCATGTAGTGTACATCTCCAAACACGGGTCAGACCAACGATCAGAAACTTCATCGACTGGTGTCACGTATTGGTCTGGGTCACCGTCTAACCTCTTCCAATCTAATCCAACTTCCTGTAGCATGACACTTCGAGGTAGGAGATGAATCGACATAGGCAGTACATGCTCACATCCAAGCCATCTCAGTTGACTAAGATTCACAACCTCATAAATTGACTTACCTATCCTGCCACCTAGTACCCTCCACCTGATCTCAACATTGCTCACACGGTGATCCCAACAAATGTGAGCAATGCTACGAGGATACCTTTGATCAAAACTCTGTAACCGTTTCATATCTTCTACTTTTAACGCCCATGTTTCAGAGCCATATAACAGGATGGAATGAACTGAAGAGCATTGTACTCATCCTTTGATAGACAGTCGGCGCCAGAGATGCTGCAAGTTGGAAGATGCTAAAACGGCCCTTCTGTATCCGAGCTGAAGTTTCGTCAGCACCCAGCCAGTTCGAGATGATACAACTCCCGAAGTAAGTGAAGTGGTCGACAAACCACCACATCACTCCCTATCATTAAACTGGGAGTACTTGCAGCAATCAAGTCCTGAAACATCATCTTACATTTGACAGGTAGAAGCGAGATACGTGCCAAACATACTCAGATTTATGCTCAACGTGTCTAGAAGACTGCATATTGTCAACGTCTTCACCCAGTAGGACACAATCTCCATAGGTGGGAGGTGAGTATATGATTGGCTGGCATCTTGAAAGGACCATTTACTTTTCTTCCTTCCTGACTTAGTTTTTCTACTATGCATTAAAAGGACCTCTGCCAAAATGACCACATCTAAACGTTTGGTTGTTAGACAGTTGATTAGGCAGTTTCCAGTAGAATTTATGCTTCACACTGTCTGAACTGCAGTTGGTGTAAGCGTAAGCAAAAAATAAAAAATATATATTGATATGTACCATGTTCGTTCGTAAACCTAGAAATTAGTGCTTCACCGAAACTTATATGGCGGCAAAAGCTGACTATCTGGTCGATAATTAAAAGACAAACCGTACAGACTAACCACTCTGTTGAGTTAGAGTGAATCAAAATATTTGGGTCTCATATGTACAATAGGTAGCACTTATTCACAACCCGGTTACCGGAGTTTTGGCTATCCAGACACTTCCCGTTGGAAGAAGAGTGTAGTCACTGAAAGCTCCGATTTTTTATTTATTTGAGGCATGGTTTCTTCCAGGAGACCAGGTTTGATGTTCAGTTAACTCCAATCGGTATTACAAACTGCATTATGTTCAGAACAGCAGAGAAATGTGCGAATAACGTAGAAAGCAACAAAGTAGGTTAGTGGTGGGTTAAACCTTGCGATAAATAGTTACAGTTGAAACAATGGAACATTCCTGTAAGCGAAAAGCAATGCTAAAATACGTCTATGAATAAATCCACTCATATCACCCACAGCATATTTTTAAGACATACAAAGTTTCTGAAACTGATACGAATCTATGCTTTTTACATAACTCGAAAACTATTGAACACCGAGATTCGCTGAAACATTTTGGAAAAATAACTTTGACTTGCTTTCAGTGCTTCAGGTTAGTCTTTATCAAATACCTTGTTTCGGGGTTAATGAGGATCTTATTTTTAAGGTCATATTCATCATGGACTTACATCAGTTGGAGAACCATTGAACACCCAGGAACACTGGTCAATTGTTTCGTCCTAGCATAGGACGCCTCAGCAGTACGCACCCACGACCTAGCTAGGGGTCGAACTCAGGACCTTCAGGTTTCATGGCGAACGCGTTAACTATTCAGCCACTGGATCAGAATTCAATGCTTCACAGTTTTCTACTTTTGTCAATTCGTGATGTAGCGTGACTACTTACCAAGGCCTTCAGTTGGATCCGCTCCACTTCCGACTGGTTGACTCCACATGTCACGGCCTCTCATTAAAACTTCACGATATCCATCTGGAGGCATGTCACTAATGAGCATTTGAAGTTAATGTAGATTTCATTTCTAAGCTAGTATTCATCACGGGCTGAGGAGTCCCATACTAGGATGAAACAGCTATCTAGTGCCCCTGGGTTTTCTATGATTCTCTAATTTATATTAGTCCATGATGAATGCTAACTTAAAAATAACTTGTCGCGACATTTTAATTGTTTATAGATCAAAGCTTGTTACCAACAGACAAGGGACAATAATCTGTTGATAAAATTAAATATTACTAACTGTTTTGCCTGCCAGCATCTAAACAAAGTGGACCAAAATCATTGGCAGCGGTGCAAATCCATAGACGTTTTACCTCTTTCGAAGCTTCGAAAGCATTCCTTATATCGTTTATTCTGTTCTATTTTCGCTTGGGTTTTTCCATCGAGTATCATTATTTTCATTTCCATATCTTCTTCGTTGGTTTATTTCCGTTTCACACGCACGTAAAGTGGATATGTGACTCCTTGATCTAGGCATTTGACTCCCAACTAATAAGTCACGGGTTCAAACACCTCTCAACTTGTCAGCGTCTGTATTATTAGCCCTCTCATTACCTACTGCAACGATGTGCATGCGTTTGCTGAGTGCATTTTGACTTTTCAATTTTCATGTGAAGTTTAGATATGATACAGTAATACCCAATAGTCCTTTTTATTTCCTTTCTTTTATTTGGATACATAAGTCAAAGTAGCTCTTTGCACACTAGTCATTCAGTCAATATCAATATGAGACTTAATAATACTGGCCAACGGTTCATGTTGTCACACCTGACATCATTAAACCGAGGTACAGGGTAACTCAATGAAAGACAGGCAAATAGAAATAATCTAACCAGAAGCCATAGAAAAAAGAAAACGAGAGGAAAAGGAAATAAGTTGTGACATGACGATTAAAATATTGGGTGTATGGCTATGTGCTACTAAGCAATGCCATCTAGACTTTCCAGCTAACAATTTTAGGCTCTAACCAAGAAGTTCACACACGCTTACACGACTCAGACCGGCGGCCAAAAGCTTCATGGACAGATGCCATTTTTTATTCTTGAAACATTTAATCCTTTCCCAACCGAAACCTAATTCAACTAACATTGCACAATGAGACAGGTAGTAACTAGGGGTGTATTCCAATCGTCTGCGTCGATGAAGACTTACAACCTCATCAAATGGCCTACCTTCTTCCCCTAAAACTCTACACCTAACTTCTGTGTTACCAACGTTGTACACCAGATGACCAATGCTGCTGAGGTAACGGTGGTCGAACGCCTGAAGCCTCCTCATGTTAGAAACTTTACTTAGTGATGCCATGTGTTCATCTAGTCACCGCATGCCTTCTTCCAGCCCAGTCCTAGTTCGACCAACATTGCACGTCGGGTAGGTGGTTACAGCTCAACATACGCAACAATACCTAAACCGTCTCAGTTGGTGAAGGTTCATAACCTCATCGAATGACTTTCCATGTACTCTACGCCTAACCTGAGCACTGTGTACACCAAATACTGTCAATGATACGAAGAAACCTATGATCGAAAGCTTGTGACTTTTTGATCATCTACTTTTAAAGGCTACTTAGGCAATCAGTCACACCTATCGTGTGAGCTCCACTTAATGTCCGTTTACTAGACAGATATTCGTCGCCATAATTGGTCTAGATGACGTTTCACTATTTTATTGGAATTCCATCCTTAGAACTAGTTAATAATGAGCAATTGAAGATATAATAGCGACTTGATATAGGATAAGGCATATATTCGCCGTTTTTGGACTACTCATGACCTTTCAATTGACGTTATCACTTCTCAACATATTAAGATATTTCTTTACAATTTTCTACTACAGATGAATCCCTTGCGCTGACTAATTCATCATCATGGCTGCGACGTCTGTTTACATCAAGTCTATTTAATATGGATTTGGCGATTCAATATCTTTTTCAATCGGAAGATGTAGGTGTACAAGCCTATTTGGGTAAGTGTTCCCTAAAGGCTGTTTCTTATTGTTAATTTTTTCCGTATAAGAAGTTATTTGCCATTTAAACACTTTACTGATAGCATAAAAACTGTAACTGTGAAAGTCTTACCTTCAACTCCCAAATGTGGCCTAACCTACTGAGATAAAAATACACGTGAACTTGACAATTATTAAAGTCCACCTATTCATAGTCTAAAGACTTATCAGTAGTTATCTTACATGAAAAATACCTCTTCGTAATGCTGTGTCATTCATTAGCTGTGTTATATCCCAGTGATTTAAATACCTTCGATCGCACTTCACAACTATAAGGTTATAAGATATCATTTCAATCACTTTGCAACCAGATTTCTCGAATAAACATATAACTACTTAAGTTATGTAGTGAATATATTGATTCCTACGGTAAGTTAGTTTGTGGCGTTATTCAGCAGGAAAGCTTTCGATTGATCAGAGCTAAAAAAAGTATGATGAAAGTATTGCTGCAATTTATCCGTCTAATGTTATATTTCAGTTTGAGGAGGTTCTATTTCTCTTCTTATATTGCATATTTCGTTTCCAAGGACAAATCTGTGTAAGAAGACTATCTGAATAGTTTTTTAAAGCAATTTTTCTCAAGGAGAAACTTCTAGCTCTCGACATTATCCAATTAATTGCAAGCAGTGCGAAAGCAGTGCTGAAAAATGAACGAAGTCATTTGTCATTACCAACAACCGTATTTCAGACACAGCTTCCTTTTTGTTACATAGACGTGGTCGAAGAGAAACTAGTTCTAATGCATTGCTTTACACCTGAAGATAAGCTTGCATAGGGACCAAGAAAGATGGTGTAAAAACCAGTATAGCAGCGTTATGAAGAAATAAAAAAAGTATATATAGACGGGAGGAGAAAGATATGAAAGTAACCTACTTTCGAAGAGACGCTCATTACTTCTGTCCTATTTTTTGTCATCTGTGGTGCCAGCAAGATATCCGACTGTCTATTAAAGGACGAGTAGACTATGCTGCTGTTCTTTCTGTCCTATTGTACAGCTGTGAGACATGGGCATCAAAAGTAGAAGACATGAGACGGTTACAGAGTTTTGATCAAAGGCATCCTCGTAGCATTGCTCACATTTGTTGGGATCACCGTGTGAGCAATGTTGAGATCAGGTGGAGGGTACTAGGTGGTAGGATAGGTAAGTCAATTTATGAGGTTGTGAATCTTAGTCAACTGAGATGGCTTGGATGTGAGCATGTACTGCCTATGTCGATTCATCTCCTACGTCGACGTGTCATGTTAGGGGGAGTTGCGTTGGTCAAAGCATTCAGTTTTCAGCTGTTAGGTTATAGGTTTGAACCAAATCCACATGCTGAAGTATGGATTAGTCAGGTCAGCCTACTACACGGATTTTTGATGTGTGTACTGATCGCATTTCGATTAACATGAACTCAGGACTCATATGGTTCAATGCTAGTATTTCATGTTACTATTTTAAGTGGTGCACATTCGAGTCGAAGGAGAAGTATCGGGTAGTTGGTATAAAAAGTAAGTTATAGAATTGTTTATTTATTATTTTCCCGTAGATTATTCCGTCATAAGATTATGAATGAATGTGAACAGGTCAAAAAGTCGAAGTTCAGTGTGTTTTCATCATCCCCCTCCCCACCTTTTGTAACAATTATAAGTTTTGCTGTATCATTATTAGTTTCTTATATTTTTACACTTGTTCTTGACAAGTATTTATTTATTTTTATCCTGTTAACAGCTGAACGACTATTTGGTTTTCCAGAATCAGATGTAGATTTCTATTTATTACAACTTGTTTCCCTATATGGTAAATCACCAATACTAGCTGAACATTTAACTAATTATTTTATATATCGGTAAGTGGTTTATATTTCTTCTTGAATATGTGTTTATCTGTAGAATTTTAGAGTTTTCAACCTGGTATTCATCATAGACTGACATCAACTAGAGAAACACTAGAATCCTAGGAGCACTAAAAACCCTTTTCATCCTAGTATGGGACTCTTCAGCAGTGTGTATTCATGACCACACCCTCCAGAGATTGATCCCAGGACTTTCAGGTTCAGCGGCTGACACGTTACCATTCAGCTACTGGATCAGAATCCAGTAGCCCATATTTCCTACTTCTGTCACTTCACGACATAATGCCATCTCCATTGAATGGGACCGTTAAATAACTGCCCCCATGTTCGACTTGGTCGGTCTCACCGGCCATGATTTCTCATTTTAACTTAGGGAACCTCAAAATTTCTTAAGTTCTACCTTTGGCGGAGTCATGAGTGTACACTGTTGAGGAGTCCCATACTAAGGTGAAACAGCTGTTCAGCTCTCCCAAGTTCCCAATGTTTCTCCAACTTAAGTCACTCTGTGATGAATACCAACCTGAAACCGATGGTTATCTATTGGTTCTGGATTGTGTTAAGGACAAGTTGCCGCTTCAAGCGACCTCATTGTGTCTTCAAATTTACTTGCTCCTGTGGAGCTAGTTATATAAACCTCACAAGGTGCGTACTTTCCAAACGTATCCATGATCACTACCCTATGTGGTTTTCAAGGGGAGAATGTTAATCAATTGAAAGTCCAATTCTTGAACACTTACTTAGTCAACTCTGAACATATATCTCCACCGGAATCCTCCTTCAGTGTCATTTATAGACTCAAAGGGAATAGTTCAAAAGGGGTACGCTTTCGACATTTGTGCACTACAAAAGAAGCACTGGTAATCCACCGACTCAAGCCTGATCTCTGCATGCGGAAGAAGTATGTTCAGTGTCTTATCTTACGATGGTCTTAATACACAATTTTTGGAGTTTATCATAATTAGTTAGTTTACTGTTATCATCTTCATTATGACCCTTTTTTCTTTCTTCATCTTTATTAAGTGGATGCTCAACTTTTATGCTTGTGATGTATATGTAAATGGGATTTTACAGCTTTAGAAAATGGTATCGTCGAAAAAGAAAGGATTTTCTTCACTTAATTATCTCTTCTTTATGATTCGATGGGCATATTCTGTCGTCACTATATATAGTGATGAAGTGAATTACCAAGCGGTGAATAAATACTCCATCCTATAATAGAATATGGGGGAAATGACTCTGTTGTAGAGAATGTATCAAGCGTTATTCATCTTGGCTTATGCTTTTCTTCTGATCTTTCTTGGTCCCCTCATATCTTACTGACTTCCAGGAACATCCTTCGCTCAACTTTGACCTAACTTGGCCTCTACTCTTAGATTCCATTAATTGTTGTGTTATGCCTATACTAACTTGTTTTTCCCCCTTATCCTTTCCTGGACTCCGGGAAAACGGCGACGCTGTGTTGCTTAGGATCTTGAAGGCTGTTAGTAGAACGAGTGGTACACCGTTAACCGCGCTGATAAATGCAGTTGTGTTGTAGTTAGGCATCTGCACCTCTATCCATGTCTACCCTTTTGGAAGACAAGTAAATATATTATACTGTATTAATATTTTTCCCTTAGGTTCCTAGTGGAACATACAGCTTCAGTAACACGTCTTGCCAATTTGTTCTCTGCGGTCTTTTAACCTGGCTCCACGACTACTCATAAGCTTTCATTTCTTTCTCACACGATTTCCTTCATGTCACTCCCGGACACCCAACTCATCGTTTCACATTTCGGTTCCACTCGAGGGACTGGCCTGACGTGTGATGTCCTCGAATGGTTTTTCTCAGTGTATGTTCAATCCAATCTTTTCTTCTGCATATTTGTTGGGCGATAAGTTCCTGGTTGGTTCGTTGCCAGGCTAGATTTCCTTGTTGCTTATTCTTTCTGGCTATCTGATCTTCAGTATCGCGTGAGCGTAGGCGGCAGCTGTTGATATATGTCTTTAGTTTGTTGGAAATGTTTTTCATAACGCGCCAAATCTCTCAGACATCACATAGGAGCACTGACTTGACTGACTTCGTTTTGAAAATCCGGATCTCGTTCCACTTGCTGAGTGCAGTACAATACAGTAAATCTCCATACTGGTTTCAGGTTAATGAAGGCCTGTTTTGCTGTCTTTCTGATCCTGGCTTTGACGTCCTCATCTGTGCCGCCGCCACCTGTAGTTGAGCCGATGATGTCTACTAGGTAGTTGGGTGAAAAAGACAACTTCCTTTAGATTTCTCCCGTTGGTAGTGAATAATGCTTGTTGTTGTTGGTTGGGTATTTTCATCACCTCTGTCTTTTCTACGTTCACCTGAAGGGAGTTCCGTCTTCACTGCCCTGTCTCTTCTGTCAACTTGTTGGTTTTCGCCTGTTGATCTGCAAGCTTGCGCGACATTGGACATAAATCATCATCGGCGAAATCCAAATATTCTAGGGTCTTTTCATCGGTCAAACAGCGAGTGTATGCCCATCTCGCTTCTCAAAGTTTGTTGCATGATCCAGTCCAGTCCGGTCAACCACAATCAGGAAGATGATCGTTGATAGTAGGCGGCAACCTTTTCTTACTTCTGTTTTCACTTCCAAAGCCTCACTGAGCTTTCCATTGTGAATAACTTGGTATGTAGTGTATTAAACTGTATGTACGCACAACTACATACGAAAATTCCTCCATTCCACCTTATTTAGCTTGTGTATTGTCTTAAGAGAATCATGTTAAACATAGTCTTATCCATCAACTCTGGAATAGCTAACTGTTATCATGTTCCTGGTGTTTCAGTAATCCTGTTATTCTTTATTATGTATTGTTAAACAATACCATTGGTGAACAACGCGTTAAGCGATGCAGTATCACAGGCTGAGATTTCTGTTCCGTAAACATACTTATGGTTCAGAGTTAAGCAGCTAAATTATCATTATTATTTGAAAAAGTTTCAGTTTTTCAGAGGAATGCCTAGTTTGATGGCAATGAGTTTCAGCTGTTATTTTGTATTCGATAAATATTTAAGAACGATGTTTTCTGCTGAACAACATCAACTATGTCTTTTGAAAACTAAGCGATATTGGTTAACGTATTTCATCATTAGTATAATTGTTTTTATATCATACCCGTCGCACAAGAAGTGGCTATCGTGGCTCGGTGGTGTAGTAGATAACGCGCTGGCGTCTGAAGCGATCGCTTCCGAGTCCGAATCCCGGTGGAAACAACACCACTCTCTGGGAAGCAGGTACACCCAGCTGACGAGTCCTAAACAAAACGAAATGCGCATCCTGGATTCCACTGCTAGCCACGATTCATCATTAACACGTATTTCATCATTTCTTGATTATTCTTCCATTGTACAAGATGCAATTGAAAACCACAAGGTTTGTGGCTTAGCACATCTGAAACTCAGATATTTATTGCTCATTATCTTAAATGTTTGGTGTTCAAGCGACAAGGCGTGGAGTCGAATTTTGCTGCACCTACTTTACTGTGTATATCCGGGTTGCGTATCCTAAGGCCTCATACAATAACTATGATTTTTTGCCTCTCGTATATAAACATTTGTACTGAGTTTAATTGAGTAGTATTTGCATTAGATTACATTACACTTGTTCTGTTTCATCTCTGATTGTTTATTCTAACATTTTCTAGATGTACAAAATCAGTTTCATTTGCAATTAATCTTGTCTGGCTGTTGGATACATTTAGTCCTCATCCACATGATCCAATTAGACGTGTTTCATCAGTTATGCTCAGTCGTCCATCATCTGTCCCATTATTCTCAAATGCTACAAGTCAACTGTATTCAACTAATCCTAGTGATAATTATCAATTTGTCAATAATAATAATAATAATAATAGATTGACTAAACTTAAAACAACGGCATCAGCTATAACCTCTTTACAAAAATTGGATAATAGTGAATGTAAAACAGATAACACTACTATCCCTTTATCATCTGTGCCAAATTCATCAGAAACAACACCGACACCTCAACAATGTGTGTATTCAGCCGAAATTCTACGTGAACTACTGTTACCTGTAGATAATAGTGTTTGGGAAGGTCTTATACTATCGTCTATGACTAATAAAAAGTAAGTAGCTGTATAATGTTCACCTGTTTTCTTTTTCATGTCTAATTTTTGCTTTCATTGATAATTCTCATTATAATATTCAGTGAAGAGGACTCTTTCCAACGAATTTGTTCTCAAGCTATACATTCGTATATATATGATATTTAATCCTTGAGAAATATTCAACTTGAATAATGGGAGGTTGAAATAACCGATGCCCGACACTACCTGTATTTGTCCACTTGAAGGCAACATTTGACTTCGTTGATCGAGAAGTTTTATGGCATTGTCTCTCACTGAAAGGCGTGCCGAGTAAGTACATCACCTTATTGAAGGCTCTCTACTCGAACACCTGTGGGTGTGTTAGAGACCATGGTGAGATGTCCAGAAAGCTATGCTCATCGAGTAATGTTCATCAAGGGTGCCCACTCTCTCCATTCTTATTCAATTTTATCAGAAATATTCTTGTGGAGGTCTCCCTCTCGTCACCTGACTACACAGACGTTGACCTAGTCGCAGGAGAATTTTCATTAGACCCTGAATATGCAGATGACATTGTCCTGTTTGTTGAACATGCTGGCAAGATGCAGAGTCTTCTGAACACTTTGAGCGGGAATTCGAGAATGTTTGTGATGCGGTTCTCACCACCTAAATGCAAATGTTTGCTCCAGGATTGGTCTTCAACGGTGCCACGGCTAACAATAGAGTGTGAGTGAAGTGGCTGAGTGTGTCGACCACTTTAATTACCTGGGAAGTAGGATCAGCCCTGGTGCGTCGGTCAGTGGCCGATGAAATCTGTGCATGGATACAAAAGGCTCGGCCGGCTTTCGCCAACTTACCCCATCTATGGCGCCGCAATGATATCCGTTTGTCTATTAAGGGTCGCATGTACTGCACAGCAGTCAGGTCTGTTCTAATCTGTGGCTGTGAAACATGGTCATTGAAGGTTGGAAGACATGAAAAGGCTTCAAGTGTTTGACCACCACCGCCTTCGTAGTATAGGCCGTATTCCGTGGTGTCACCACGTGAGTAATGCAGAAGTCAGGTGTAGAGTTTTAGGGAGGGAGTAGAGGTAAATCAGTTGACCCGGTTGTGAACCTTCATCGATTGAGATGGTCGGGTCACATACTACGTATGCCTAGTCACCGATTGTCTCGTCAAACAATGTTGGCCTAAGTAGGTGCAGGCTGGAAAAGTGCCCGAGGTGGCTAGACTAAAACATGGCACCAATGTATGAAGTGTTTGACTGTTGGTTTGAGCTATGTGGGGACGATTTAGACTAGGTGGTTGGGGTCGGCGGGACAAGAGGAGCCAGTGTTTGGAGACTCTATGTGATATGGCTGAGAACCGATGTGAGTGGCGCAGATGTATACACACATTATCGTCATTTTAGCGCTATACCGAATCTCACCATTTTTTCATTCTTCCTTCCTCTCTACCTCGACATGGAATGCTTGGAGAAGTTGAATTAAGTTGGCTCAGTCCATGAATTCTCTGGATCTTGGTCTGAGCTGTTTGAAGAGGTGTAGACTACCTAGCTAGGGTCTCTGAGAAGATAGTAATCAGTGATTGAGGGTTCTTAGTGCTGTAGCTGAAAATCGGTCACAATGGTGTATTCACTCTTTGGTGTCTTCTAAAGCTGAAATGCTTTGATTAATCTTCATTTTCAGTACACAGGACTAGACAACATGAAGTTGTGTTCTCTTCTCGTGACCAATCGTTATTTGTAACTCAGTCCTACTGGAGGTCAATCGCGGCCTGAATAGCTTAGTGGTAACCGAGCTGAATACAACATTGGGTGACATGGGTTCGAATCTCAGACGGGACATCAGTTCTATCGAGGTTGCAGATGTACACCTAGCTGTCGAGTGCCAACAACCACGAAACTTAGGTTCAAGGCTTCCTGTCGATTTCCTCTAACCAACTTACATTTATCAATGTACACCACGATGCTTGGTGACCATATTGCAAAAATGATCGATAGATATCGGTCAGCACACAGTACTAGACAACATGAAGTTGGTTACTTTCCCACGAGAAGTCGGTATATGATTGTTAAATTCATACTCCTTTGTCCACTTTGTTACTAGTCTCTTTCTGTCCACTTGTTTTTTGTATACTACTGTGGTGTGGTAACACGAGTTGATGCACTTATATGCCGGTGGTTCGCTGTTGATTTTGTCTGTCTGTGCCACTTTATGTATTACAAATAGATAACGGGTAGCAGTAGGGTCCAGGACGCACGTTTCGTCCAGTTCGGGAGTCGTCAGTGGGTGGTGGTGTTCCCGCAGACTCGAATCCAGGGTCCATCGCCTTATCTTCTAGATTATTGAGTCATGATACCTACTCCTTCTCCAGTGGGTATAGTTTTATGTTGGAACCTGGTATTTCCAATTGTTAACTGGTTCAAAGCGAATTGGTAGGCTTCTGTAGTTTATGAAGCCGAAGTGATTTCATTACTTTAATGATGATCAAAGATTTGAATCACTTGCACAAGCACACGACTTGTCAACTAGTGAACCACAGATTTGATTCCCACTCCACCAAACGAATTAAAGACACTCAGCCACGTCGTATACATTCGTGCAGTAGACAATGAACCACACCTATTGTGTGAAGGCTGCTCAAACCTCCGCAGAGGGAGCGGAGTTGGAACCCTTGGCCCACTTATTGACAGCCATCTTCCTAAACCACTGAGCCACAGTTCCCACTCCGACCTGACGGCAATAAGTAGTTACACCAGGTTCTATGTGTTTTTGGTTACGTTTGTTTTCTCTATTCATTCATCAGGGTTCAGTCACTTATACATTCAGTAGATGTGATGTGGTTATCAAGTTGGATTCTTCTTCATATGATAGTTATTTGTCATGGTGACTTGATGCCATTAAATTATCGTTTATGTCTAGGAAAATGAGTACATACTATTCGTGTATACAGCATTCTCAAATTCTGTCCGTTGTGTAAAGCAGCTGCAACCAGCTGATTAAAAGAAGTTCTACTTTCCAGGGTGGTTGCGTAACGTGCTCACCAAATGGTAACCAATTCACCTGTCAAGTCCTAAGTGCTCAGGACTCATGACAGTCTGTTGATTAAGCTTTGCAGTCCTGTGGCCACTAAGCTAGGTGATACAACACTGCAATGCACTATATTTTGGTGTCAGGTGCAGGGAAGTCCTACTTTACCCAGATTATATGGTTGTCAGCATTTATCAGCACCGCTTGTTCTCAATTCTTTGGAAATGCAATTCTCCTGTTAAATTTGAACCTGTGCCACGCATTTCTGAGATGAGAAACTTAACCTTTAGATTACTTGGATAAACATCTGACTCCACGGTTTCACAGCTCTGAGACATGGCTGTTAACATTCGAAGATATCACGCGACTACAGAGTTTCGATCACAGGTGTCTTCGTAGCATTGCTTGCGTTTGGTGGAATCACCATGTAAACAATGTTAAGGTCTTGCAAAGAGTACTAAATAAGACAGACAAATCGGTTGATGAGGTTGTGAATCTTAGTTGACTGAGATGGCTTAAATATGAACATGTACTGCGTATCCCGATTCATCTCCTACCTCGACGTTGGATTAGATTGGAAGAGGTTAAAGGGTAACCAGACCAACACGTGACATCAGTAGATGAAGTCTGTGATTGTTAGTCTAACTCATATGGGGAGATGTAAACTGCTTGGCTGAGGTCCCGACACGATAAGAATTACTGGTTGAGGATTCCTGGTTGGAAACCGGTCACAGTGGTGCAAATGTATGCACAACTGGGACTTAAAGTCGAGTACACACGTTTTAATGTCATTTCTAAGCTGAATAGAACACAAGACAATTGTTCTGTAGTTTCAGAAGTAAGAAATTTCAAAATCGTTTAAGATTTTTGTTTACATTTCATTTATATTTCAGTTACAATACAGAACTGCATAATGATGTTAATACTCACGATAGTCATAGTGTAAATAACACGTCACCGTCTACATCAACTTCTAAATTATCTCTGAAGATTTCTCATACTGGACATAAACGAACTACATCTGATGTAACAAGTGAGTGCATACATCATCCCTATTTTCATTGTGTATTCAGCTAATTTTTCGCCTCGTTTTAACTACAATTACTTTATTTTGACATAACTAAATCATTACAGGTTCGAATTCTATTCCATTCACCGGGTCTTCCTACCACAATATGCTGGTATATTCCATAGTCTGATAATGCATTAGAACCTGTGAATAGGTGTGCTTCGATTAACATTACTCTTGACAACATGCTGTCTTCGTTGTTTACAGACTGCCTCTTTTGTCTTAATCTTTGCCTTCTACAGATAAATATCGAATTTATTTTGAGGACAATGTGGATTTTAGTTATAAGATGTCATTCATCACGAACTGACATCAGTTGGAGAACCTTTAAGATCCTGGGGCCAGTGAAGGACTGTTTCGTCCCACTGTAGGACCCTACAACCGTGAATCCGTAAGATCCTGAGTTCAGTTCCAGCTGGGTCGTGACTGCGTTCTTCTGAGGAGTCCCACTCTAGGACGAAACAGCTGTCCAGTACTCCTAGGTTTCCAACTGTTTTCCAACTGATTTCAGTCCGTGTTGAACACCACCTTAAAATATCTAATTCTTTTGCTGTTGTTTTTTCACACCGAGACATGTGTAGACACATTCTTCTCTTGTAGTGTGCATCTTGTCTGATGTTGTATTTTGGTAAAGCGTATCTAATAGATTTTTGTTTGTTTGCTGACATTTTTCCACACACACGTCCATCGACCTAGTTTTTCTGTAGTTGGTGTTTGTTTATCAATGTATGTGTGTGTCTGCAAACCCACACTCTCATATAGATTGGTTGATAAGGCGAAGCATTGAAATACAGTGTTTGACTGAGTTACACGGAATGAATTGGGATGGAATATTCGTCTTACTTCACTCACCTAGCAAGTTGCATCTGCCTAAATGGGTTGTTTGCTGACGAAATCTCGGTTTAGATTCGGAAAGGTCTTCTGACATTTCCCAACCAGCGTCACTTATGGTGTCGTCGTGATGTTCGACGACCTGTCAAAGGACCAGTATACTGCATTTCACTTTGCTATGTCCTGTTATAGGACTATGAGACAACCATTACATTCCACCATCAACAAAAAATAGAAAGATATCTAAACAAACAGTAGAGAGAAAGGTGAACAAGAAATGGTCACTGATAATGTGGTCAGTTTTATATTAGAAGAATTGAAAGTGAATGTATCTGAAGTATTATAATCTATTTCAGAGTGACATTTCTGAAACTTTGTAATCTCTCGCATGAGCTACGTATTTAAACATGAAGGTGCTACGCAACACTATCCGTCTATCAGAAATGGTCATTGATGACAGACGACTACATTTCATCCTGACCTCAGTTGGACTGCTATGTAAGTAAGACAAAGATCAACTGCATACAGCTAATCAAATGAGATAGGTTCGTTGATGAAGTTATGAATTTTCGTGTAATAGTGCCTTATTTAGTTGTAATCACCTTCTCCAGTTTTTGATATGCATATTTAATTATCTAGTTAGCAATACTTTGTGTTCATTGATTCGAATTTTCTCTATCCTTGAGTATTGCTATCAAACTGTATCTTTATTTCTTTTATTTTTTGTCATAGGTTTAAGAACTTCTCATCATTTAAGTGAATCTAGACATCGGGTAATTGATCAGTTAAATCTTATCAGTAATAATGGAGATAACAATAGTTGTAACAAATCGACAGAAACTACCAATCATAATCCTTGGTCTTCATCGCAAGATTCAGCTGTTTGCCTATCGAATGCAGATGTCGACTTGCATGTTTCCAGTTTATCGAATTATATACCGCTAAATCATGTCTGTCCATCGTTTAATCATTTTTCAACTCATCTAGGTGTTCCATTTGATGAAGGAATAAATTCTTTGCATCGTACACATGCTCTTCATCAGAGTTCACGTAAATGGAGTATGAGCATGAACAAGGTGGGTGCATGTATATTTTTAAGATAGTTTTGAACACGAACTGATATCATTTCGAGAGCCAGTAAAAGATGACTCAGGAGTATAGACCCACAACTCCGCCGGGGTTGAACTTGGGATCTTCCGGTCTCACAATGAACGCGTTGATCATTCAGCTATTGGATCAGAGTTCAGTGGTCCACAGTTACCGATTTCTGTCAATTTAAGATGTAGTGTGGCTATCCACTAAAGTCTTTAGGTGGATCTACTTCACTTCGGACTAGCTAACCCCATAGGTCATGGCTTCTTTTTACTTCATGATATCCACCTCGAAGCATGTCACTAATGAGGACTATGCTTACAGTAATGTATTTCGAAGTTTATAAGGTTTTTATCTTTAAAATAGTAGGAAAATGTAAACCTGGTGATTCAGACACAACATTCTCTGTGCGAAACTCAAAGGTTGTGAGTATGACCCCTAGTAGTGTCACAGGTGCTCATTACTGAGGAGTCCGGTGCTAGGACGAAAGAACTGTCCAGTGATCTCAGGTGTTAAATAGTTCTGCAACTATTGTCAGTCCGTGATGAATACTATCTTATATATATATATATATATATATATATATATATATATATATATATATATATATATATATATATATATATATATATATATATATATATATATATATATATAGGTCCACAATTCAATCAAAATACCAGTCAAATGATGGTCGGCAGTTGATAAACAATAGTTATAGAGTAATTTGGTTGGTTGTGGCTAGCAGAGGAATCCAGGACGCACGTTTCGTCCTCCGTGGCATAGTGGATAACGCATTGGTGTTTGGAGCGATAGGTACGAGGTTCAAATCTCAGTGGGAACAACATCACTTACTGGGTGCAAGTACATCCAGCGGACGACTCCCAAGTAGGACGAAACGTGCGTCCAGGATTCCTCTGCTAGCTACAACCAACTAAACTGCCATAACACTCAGGCAATATCGAGACATCCGCATAGAAGCCTATATGCCAACAGAAGTCGAACAGCTTGATCCAATAGAACAACGGATAATTACAAGTATATCAATGAACAGTGATAATAGTTAGCGAGGTTTTAAGTCATGAAGCCAATAAGTTTGAAAAATCAAAGCGAAAATAATCATTAGATTAATTATACGTGATTAAACGTGGTATCTGTTATATTATGAAACTGCTTGTTCTCAGACAAAGTGCATGGTGACTGGTAAAGTAATTGGAGTACTTTTACTCTCGAGTGGTCAGTCATAAATAATAAATAATTGCGTAAGAATAAGAAAACAAATGAATACTGATAAGAACAAAAGGAGGAGAGGTGTGAAAAGTAATGCTATAAGTTACATCATGTTGACGACAACGGTAATGAGAGTCACTGTTAAACGAATTTTTTTTCAATGCAACGATCAGATTTGTAAAGGTGGGTTCCAATCGCCTCTGCGATATGATGTAACCGAATGCGTAGTCCATATGGTAAATTAATCGGTATTCGACCAGTGATTTTGAATGAATTTCTAGTATCCACTTGATGTCTGGTGTCAAATAAGTGTGCATGTATGAAGCTGTTTATTGTTGTAATCTGTCACTTGTTGAACCCTGATGGATGGCCCTCAAGAATAAGACGATGGACCTGCCTCATTGTACACCCAATGTAACTAGCTCCACAAAACCAGTTGAATTGATAAATGCATATGGAGGTGACAGAATCAGGCAGTTTGTCTTTATTTCTTTCACTTAGAATCTCACGGTTGTACATGGGACATAGTTTAGCGTTTGAATTCCAGCCCCAGGAAAATTTGCTTCTTAGGAACTTCTGGCATTCTTGTCTTAACCTTCGTAACATTCATATGCTTAATTATGAATTTTATTGGTCACGGATGGTGGCGAACTCTTCCTCTATAGCATCATCAAAGCAAATAGCTGTAGCACCGTATACCAGGAACGTCATTAGATTCCTCTTGCATTGGATGGAATGCGGCACTAAGGAAGTGCGTATGCTGACCTGTTAATGTTGCCTTTCGATTCATACTTTGTTTCGAAGTTACAACTTACCTATATATATATATATATATTGAAATTTTTATGATTATTTCCTTCACGTGAATTCCTTATTTTTTTCATATCCTGGCTGTGAAACATGGTCATCGAAAGTGGAAGACATGAGAAGGCTTCAAGTGTTTGACCACCACCGCCTTCGTAGTATAGGCCGTATTCCGTGGTGTCACCACGTGAGTAATGCAGAAGTCAGGTGTAGAGTTTTAGGGAGGGAGTAGAGGTAAATCAGTTGACCCGGTTGTGAACCTTCATCGATTGAGATGGTCGGGTCACATACTACGTATGCCTAGTCACCGATTGTCTCGTCAAACAATGTTGGCCTAAGTAGGTGCAGGCTGTAAAAGTGCTCGAGGTGGCTAGACTAAAACATGGCACCAATGTATGAAGTGTTTGACTGTTGGTTTGAGCTATGTGGGGACGATTTAGACTAGGTGGTTGGGGTCGGCGGGACAAGAGGAGCCAGTGTTTGGAGACTCTATGTGATATGGCTGAGAACCGATGTGAGTGGCGCAGATGTATACACACATTATCGTCATTTTAGCGCTATACCGAATCTCACCATTTTTTCATTCTTCCTTTCTCTCTTTTCGTACTTTACATTTCTTTTGGCTAGGTTTTTTTCTTCATCTTCCACTTCACTGTCTTCTTACTTGATGTACTGATATGAGGTGTGGCAACTCGGACCGTTACGCAGTAATGCCTGGTCCTATGTTCCTATTGATTGATTCGTTCATATCCTTCATCAGTGTATATGCTGTTTTACAGGCTCTAACGCCGTCACACTATATACACCCTCAACTTTTTGTTTTATCAGTTAGTTGTAAAACAGTAAAGTTTCATCTTGATTATTTTACTGTTGACTCATGATTAGCTTAAAATGATATTTAATTGGCATATTTTATTTAGCTTCTAGATTATATTCGTTTCATTCCAGCACATTGTAATGGTGTAAACATATTGATTTATATCAGACATGAATCTGACACTTCAAGGTCAATCGAACAAAGAAATAATACAGGAAGTAGGGCAGAATAGCGTTTAGTAGTTCAAATTTATCAGATATCACAAAAACACGTGATAAATAAATGAAACATTTAACAAAAACAGTGATTGTGACCTATCAATCCAGTCACTTAGTTACGCAACATGCCTTGCATGGTTTTCGTTTGGTTTTGCCTTAAAATAAGTTGGCATGATGCCCAGTTTTCGTGTTTGTTGGCATTCGCTCACTCATCTGCAAGATGCATCTGTAACCTTGTGAAGACGCATACCTCTTCAGAGATTGGAATCTGTGTATCATTCAATACTGAATTTTCGAAACTTTAACTCATTAAACTACTTAGGTCACAAATAACTCTGTAGAAGAGAATTATGTGCACAAATATAATTTTTATTGGATAGTAGGAATTAAGGACGACTTTTAGATAGTGGGCACTAAGTTCAAATCCTACTCCACTTACTTTCATCTGGAAAACGCGGAAGTATTATAAGCTGTTACACATAACGAGTGTGACTCATCGCCCAGTATATAGGACGGAACGCACTCAGCCACCTTAGGCAACAAGCCACTCCTATTGTGTGAAGGGTAGTGGTACTACCTGGCTGCCCTAACCTCAGTCGGCGGTGTGGGATTTAAACTTTTTACCCAGTGGTTGAAAGTCATCTCGCTAAACCATTAAGCCATAGCTGCTCAACCTACTATACAAACCTGTACTAGGTAGATGAATTACTGTAGAGTATGCATATGACACATTCTTGTTAGGTGAAGACACTGACAAGATACAGAGTCTTCTGAACACCTCAACTGGCAATTTACGAATGTTTGCGTTACATTTTTCACCACCCAAATGAAAATTATTATCACTAGGACACCAAAGTAGAAAACGTTGTGTCATAGGATAAACAATTTGAAGATAAGGGTTGAGGGAAATATTCAAGCTGTAGATGTCGAGGACTTAATATATCTACGCCATTGTAACCGATTTTCAGCGATGTCCCCAAGAGGTCTTAACCAATCATTCCTTCCGTCTCAGTGACCACAGTCAGCTAGACTACATAGGTGGATATAGAGTCAGCTTAAGCAACATTTGGAAAATGAATCAGGCTATGACCTAAACAAAATGATTGGTAATCTCCCTCATGGCATCATATTGGTTTACCTAATAACCATTTGAATGACAATTTTCTATTGTACACATATTACTAGATGGGATAGATTCACTTTGAATAACTGGGTGATTTTTAGCTTGAATTTTAAAGGGGAAAAACATTTTTTTAATTACTATCAGTCAATCTGACAGGTATGAGACTTGCACCAATCAGATAGTCTGTATAGATCTTAAATTTATGTACTTTCATCGATATGCAACGGAAATTTTACACCAGTTGTGAATATCCACACAAATAAGTCATCAATGATTAACCGATGTAGCTGTTTATTAGTTAGTGCTCAGCGTTGGTCATATTTTTAACTACGAGGAAAATAATGTTCTTTTGTCGATGCGCACCTGTGTCATTCAGTCAGTAAGGGTTCATAAATTCTTGTCTTCCTAACATCTGACACCAAAATGTAGTGTATATGTGTTCACTTTTATCAAGAAAGATAAAAATGAGCAAAAGTAACTCCTAATATATTGAATCGTTACATTTCATTATTCTCGTTCTATCATATGCATACATATAACCTTTATTCGCTGATGAAGATGCGCTATCTCAGTAGTTCTATAAAAGGGCAAAGAGACAGAGAGAGATTTAATTAGCATTCGAAAGAGTGCTACTGTTCATGAAACTGCAATTCAATGGAGGTGTAGTCAGTGAAAGTTATACATCAGAGTTTACCTACCTAAAGCCACTAACAGGACTTTCTACGATGCTTAGTTTATTACCCTCCACTCAGCCAGTCGTTACTGCTTTCATGAAAATTATAGAATCTTTCCATTTTTATGCTTATTTATAAGTTTAGCTACTTCTGTGAGGAAAGTGTACTGCTAGGCAACTGAAGGTATGTGTTGCTCAGTCTCTATCTTCATGACGGAAAAAGAGACAGATACATTCTATAGGAAATTGAATTTTATTTCATCTGGTTAATGCTGATCACACTTTAGATAAAACCTATACATTTAAAATGATCTCTTGTATACCACTCAACCATTAAAATGATGTTCTCGAACTATTAATCCAAGCCTTTCACATGCAGAAAATTGTGCACCTTGTTTATCCCTTTCCAGACCAGACTTGACAAGCAACTTGGAAATTAGAGTTTTTCTACCCTTTTCTCCTTCTTCACCGATTGTATATGCTTACTATATATACTTCTACTGGCGGGATATCCGACAATTTACCAAACAGCGAGTATACTTCTGTTATACTGCTATACAGCTGTGAGGCCTGGCTGTAAAAAGTAGAAAACATGAAGCGGTTACAGGGTTTCGATCACAGGTGTCTTCGTAACATTACTCGCGTTTTGTGGAATCACTGTGTGAGCAATGTTGAGGTCAGGTGAAGGGTAGTAGGCGGCAAGATAGGCAAGTCGATTGATGAGGTTGTGAAGGTTAGTCGTCTGAGATGGCTTGAATATGGACATGTACTGCGTATGCCAAGCTTCTACCTACCTCGACGTGCCTTGCTAGAGGAAGCTGAACTAAGTTGTGAGAGGGTACAGGATAACCAGACCAAGGTGTATCACTAGTGCATGAAGTCTTTGACTGTTGGTCTCAGATATGTAGGCGGTGTAGACTACCTAGCTGACTGGGGTCGCCGAGACGGAAGGAATGATTGGTTGAGACCTCTTGGGGACATCGCTGAAAATCGGTTACTATGGTGCAGACGTATTCAGTCCTTGACATCTTGTAAAGGTTGACTATTCACACTATCCAATATCTTCAAGTTGTTTGTTCTATACTTCGACACAACTTTGTCTACTTTGATACCACTTTTTCTGTTCACTTATCCTTCGTAGATTGCTGTGGATTTAGGCAACTTGAAGCGATTCACCTGTGTGGGAGGTTCTATGTTTACTTTATCAGTCTTGCAGTCAGTTATTTTGCAACGCATAGATCTCTCTCTTTCTGTCTGTATTACAGCAGTTCTACTGAAATTCTATGAATTCATTAATTCCTATCTCCTTTAATTTTATTTTACTCTGATTTCACTAGTGTTGATTTTTATTTATTGGCTTCCAAAAGAATGTAGAACGTTTCTGTTTATTCAGTTGTTTCCTTTTTTCATTCTGTTTTATTATCGGTAGAGTTTTTACGATCTGGTCTATAATCAGCTGGAGTGGAACGCGTTATATGCCACTTAGGACTTCTCAGTTGCATATTCCTGTATTCCAGTTATCAATAACTTTGTTTCCTATTATTTAGCCATTGTATTGTTGTGATACTAATACACACACATATATATGTTTTCTGTTATCGTTAACTTTAGATCATTACAAAAGAAATTCTACCTCAGTCTCATCTTTGTCAGTCATCGGTCAGTCTTCAAGGTTTAAACTCAACTTCAAGTATCAACTGTCCGCCGCCATCGTGTGTAAAATCATCATCATTGGGTCGTACAGCCATTGGTGCCACTGTTGATGATCACAGTGGTGATAATCGTAGTGGGACAGTTGTATCTTCCTACTCTCCGGATAAGTCAACAAAAGAAACAAAGAAGAGTGAAATTCAAACCATGGAATGTTGTATTTCTACAACGGCATCATCAAGCCCACTAGATAGTGGTTTGTATATGACAGCGCCAAATGTTAGTAGTAGTGATGATGTTGGTGATAATTGTGGTAGTGCAGGTGGCGACAATAATGATATGGCCCAGTCATCAGGAAGTGTTTATCATCTACCTCATTGTCCGTTTTATCAGCCATACTCGTCTAATGTTGATCGAGCACTAGCATTACGGAGTTATCTAGTGCCTCGACTGCTTCCTGAATGGGATTTTGTAGATGGTCTGTTAAGAATAGCTCATCGGCTAGTGCCTATCAGTCCCAAGGAACAAAGAAGTAAGTTTCTGCTTGCCTGACTTATAAGTAATTGTTTCTGGTTTCTCTTCTTACCTCAACCTTCGTTCTCTGTAACTAGATAGTGTCATAAGTTGGTACATAACCTTTGTGGCTCATAGCCTGCATGGAGTTGGGTTGCATTAATTGAATTACGGATAGATTCAAAGAATTACACCTCTTGATAGTGCTGCAGAAAATATTCAACAGTGGAAATAAGAGGGGGTTAGGTATGGCACTATACCTCTGCAGTCATTTTCAGGCTGTGATCTACGCCTGCATGACAGCTAATTTTACAACTACCTTGCAGTGCATACCTCTTCAAATGGATTGGAGTTTGTTCCGGTTAGAAGTCAAGCGTCTAGGCTTAATGCTAACCAGCTAGGAGAAACGGTTGAATAAGTAGGTGTGGAACAAAACGCGTGATAAGATGATCCCTGATTGCTCCATTATGTAAATCTGGTTTGAATCTGTGATGAATGATGACATGAATTCTGCAACTGCCAACTGCTCCTACCTAAGTTACTCTCATCCTGGAAAGTCTGTGCCGTCTTACAGGGCTTAGTCCAAAAGGATTCATTTTACTGGATTAGTAGCAGTTCGTTGATTACCACCTACTGTAGATATTTCCATCTCTAGCGCAAACTAACTTTAAATAGTTGGTTATTGTGGCTTTAAACAAGGAAGGTACATAAAATAGGTTTGGCATATCTCTTCCGGGGACCATAATGCATTCTGAAAAGATGTGTTAAGTGCCTCTCCTTCAGCTTCAAGGTGAGCTGCTGGGTATGCAGTTCCTTCAACAACCGGTACCTCGTAATTACAGATGGCAGCAGGTGCTGCTTTGCAAGAGTTCAGAAGTTCGTTGGAAGGAATTTCCCGGTGAGGTTTCAAATGACTAGTTGAAAGTAATGAGTTTATCTTAAAGTTGTTGAAGATGCCGCGGGAGGTTATTACTTGGAAAACGAACGCAAACAATCTCATTGGTGCCCTGTCATATGGAATGGAATCTGAAACTTGTTCTAGAATAGACGAAGCGACAATATAACCATGCATAATCATCAACAAATTAGGTTAGCTCCTGGACAAGGTGATTGAAAATACTCTCGAGTTTCAACTGGGAGACACACTTCCTCATCTAACAGTAGCAAAGCAGGAGAGAAGCCTGGAAAAGTGAACCGACAATCGATAGGTGAGTAGACATTGATGTAGGGTATCAGGATTAGATATCGAAGAAATGCTCGGAGGATGTTCTTGATAGCTCGATTACTACGTCGTATGAGACCGATACTTTCTGGATGATAAACAGCTTTACGAGTTTTCTTAATTCTTAGTATATGGCATATTTGCATGATCATATGCGTTTAGACATCATGATCGTATTCATGAAATCTATTTGTACATAATAGTTCAATTGGTCCGTTCACGTAGGTACGCGAAGTGCTCATATTTTTGGAATACATGACTTGAGTTATGCGCATCGGTTACAATTTTGGCAGTAATCAGATGTTAGGGTGAATTGGCGGCAACCGAAATCTGTGTCTAAGGGACATACTCAGTCTTGCTTATGATAGTGACGTGTGTTGGGCATCCTGACTCACCGCTTGTCTCGATGCATTATGTCGTCTGTAGTATATTTAGCATAAAAGAAAACCATAGGTAATCGGATTAACACCTATATATGGCGTCTTTAATGATCGATCTGAATTCTGTATGGAATTGTAAGCTGTATGTTTAGAATGTTACCAATCAACAGTTAGAGACTCTCAATAACTTGGTTCGGCCATTGTATTACAGATATATCGACTTTTTCTTATCCTGATGATTTCACACATTCTTACCAACCTCAATTTATTCATTGGTGATTGAAGTAAAATAAAAGTCTGGTCAGGAGTTGGACCTTATAGCTCAGTTGGTAAAGTATCGGGTCGGAAACCTGATAGTCGCTAGTTTGAATCCGGCTGTGGTTCAAATTTTCATTTCACCTTCAATCATCATTCATCGTCAATACAAATCTACCAAACCATGGTTACCTCAGATAGTCAGCATGATAATCATATACTTCTAAGTGCTTTACTATCTATCATTCCTATTTTATTGACTTCGGATTGTAAATTTTGATCTAATGAACTTCTGTTCAATGTTCCATATTAGTTTAGTTGTTTGCCTTGATATTTATCATATTTTAATCTGAATACCGTAAGAATATTTTAATACTTTAAAAAAAAGAAGTTTGCAATCTCTGCACATATTTTTGGTGACGTCTATTCTTTGATCAGACTTCATTTCATTTAATCTTGTTAATGAAACATAATAATTCACGTAAAAACAAATTATCCTTGAATTTTAATTATTATTATTTCAGATCCGTCTGAATGTTAAATGTTATTTTTTTTCCCCATATGTTGTTACTAATCAGATTGCTCAAGTCGTATTGATGATTTTATCTTTTTCGACTCAGTGATGTAGGAACCTAATTTCTGATGAGTTTAGTTAACGCTTTCCAGAAGCGATATACCCTATCAAGACTTGAGAATTTAATTCCTCCTATCAGTATACATCGGATTATAGGTGTAACAAATAAACAAATCACGCAAGAGCGTCTAACTAACGTGCATTAGTTCAAATAGTAGTCACTGAAGGTATGGACTAAGTAACCAGAAACAGCATTATGCAACACCAGAGGAAATGAAGCAAAAAGTGGTAGAATATATTTGACGTAAGTTACCGAAGATGATAAAAAGTGGATACATTTTGCAATGCTGTAAAATAGATTTTGAATCACCTTACTGAAACTTTCCAACCATTTTTGCCAGCTTGCGATTTTTGTTTTTTGCTTTCGAATCTAACTGTAAATTCCTGTTACAAGCATCAGCATGCCACTGGATGATGGGAGTGTGTTTCTTTTAAGGCTGACCCTTTTTTAACCCTCCCTTCTCATTTGGAAGGCAGCAAATCAGCATAGCACCGCTGGTTACCTACCCCCATCCAGTCAACAGTATGTTTTCGCCCTCAGACCACCACCATAGTGTACTATTTTACACTATAATGATAACTGCTTTTTGTCTCACCACTATCCAAGAAACCTCTCTGGTATGGTAGGAACTAGAAGAATCAAGAGTTCCAGTCAACTTATCTCGTTGGGTTATTGTAATATGCAAGTTCGATCACCACATCTAATCACCAGCTGTTGATTCCTAACATTCGAAGGACTCCATCCACACCACTCCACACTCTTCTACATGTCCTCTAACCAGGAATTTTAAACTCTCGATATTGATATCACATGTTCTTCTTATCATAGCTAATATTGAATGTATAGTTGGCTGATTAATATTGATTCATAATGGATTCACATTAGTTGGAGGAACGTTAGAAATCTGGGAACACTGGACAGCTGTTTCGTGTGACTAGTATGGGACTTCTCAACAGTGCGCAACCATGACCCCACCCTCCACAAGTCGATCCCAGGATCTTCAGGTTTGGTGGCCAGCACGTTACCATTGAGCCACTAGGTCAGGATCCAATGGTCCATATATCCAACTTCTGCTTGTTCACGATATACCGTGACCTCCATCCAATATCGTCGTTGAAATGCTGCCTTCATGTTTGACTTGGTTGGCTCCACTGGTCACAACTTCCCACTGGAACTTCAGGAGTCGCCTCGAAGCTAGTCACTAATGAGCCTTGGATTAATCCTGTCTGCAGGTTTTGGAGATTTATTGATAGATTCATCATGGACTGACATCAGTTGGAGGAATATTAGAAATCTGGGAGCACTGGACAGCTGTTTCGTCTGACCAGTGTGGGACTTCTCAGCAGTGCGCAACCATGACCCCACCCTCCACGGGTCGAACCCAGGACCTTCAGGTTCACTAACCAGCTCGTTACCACCGACCTACTAGATCAGAATCCAATGGCCCATATATCCAACTTCTATCAGTTCACGAAATAGCGCCAGTAGTCGTGACCGGTGGGGCAAACCTGGTGGTCAGTATATCTCGTTGGTTTATTATTATATGTAAGCCCGACCACCACATCAAGGTAGCAACACCTATTGGTTCCTAACATCCTAATGACTCCATCCAGACCAGTCTATACTCTTCTACATATCCCTTAAGCAGGAATTTTAAACTTTAGATATTGTTATCACCTGTTCTTCTTATCACGGCTAACATTGAATGTAGGGAAAGACGATGAGTTGGCACAGCATGCACAAAATATCCCAGGATTAACTTATATCCGAGTAAATTCAAATATCTTGTCGTATCATCTTTTGGTCTGTGTAGTTAATTGCATAATACCGACCCAGTTTATGACTTACACTCATCTTTGTTTCTAATACAAACCAATAGCTGCACATTTACAAGCGGAGTTGGCCAATTTAAACCTTCACCTACCTGCACATGTTTGGTTGCCAGTGAATAAGGCTGGTCATATCGTTTTACGAATCCCACCAACCGCAGCAGTGTGTCTCAATTCCAAAGATAAAGTAAGCTGACTTAAATGGTAAAAGTATTTCTCTCTTTCTTCTTTTTCTTTTATCTTTGCTTATCTCTCTATGAAAGTTTTTTATTAATTTACTAAACTTCTCTTAGTAAGGGTACTATTTGTGAGGTTGTCTAGCTTGACATGGGTATATTCTACGACTCAAATACATTGGAAAGAGAACAATTAACCAAATAAAATCAACCGAAGGGATGAAAAATTGGAGCTTCAGTAAAACCCCCGGTGGGGGGGGGGGAGAAGATTATCCGTTTTTCAACAGTTAAACATGAAAAAAGACCTAAGTTGTGTTATGCGCATAATCCAGTTCTTTCAGGGTTTCGAAATGGAATCCGAATTCACTCAGCAACCTTGTGCGCATTTAAGCAGTAGACGGATGAGCTACACTTACTGTTTAAGAGCTGTTCAAGCCTCTGCATTTGGAGCGGGGTTCAAACCCGTGACCCACTAGTTGAATGTCGAATCTCTAAACCAATGAACCACAACTCCACACATGCGGTGATAACTTATAACTACACGGGTGCTAAGTTATCAACAGAAACATGCATAACACATATCCGACTCACTGATGAAACGATATTTAATAATAACTAAATGTATCCCTGTTAAGTCATTTGTACATACATGAGTCACACTAACTCACTTTTGTTTTATTTGTGTACACTGATGATGACTACATGGTTTGTCTGCATATCTACACTATCGTAGATGGCTCAAACTATGATCATTCCCAAGGATCCATTATGATCCAGAATCGGGTCGATCGATCATGTATCGCTTGGTGCAGGACTGAAAGTGTGGGCTAACCTTACTACCTAACTTTTCAAACCTCGGTAGGTGGGTTGAACCGAGGACGCTTTGGTCGAAAGCTTTGTATTTCAACCAATCAACCACAATTGCATATTGATGCGGTAATAAGTGTCGTTGTTATGGTTAGTTTACATACCAAATAGACTCATTAATTTGTCACGGGAGAGAGAGTAACCAACCTCATACTGTCTAGTCATAATCATTGATCCTAAATCCTATCAATGATTCCCTCGAAATAGCAAATATGTTGTGGTGATGAGCGCCAACATACACGAAATCTTGTTCCATGAATTTCTACTGATTGCTTCCAAGCATCTAATATCTGTCAAATAAATTCTTAAAATTATCATAATGTTCAAATTGTTTGACTAAATTATTCAAACTACTGAAAATAGCCATCAGGATTTTTATAAAAGAAAAAGCGAAAAGTTCAGCGAAGATACTTTTTTCCCAACGATTTCATCCTTCACAGCTCTACACAATCCTAATTTATACATTTTTGTTGAACTATACTGGATACTTAAGAGAATTATTTAATTCAACCTAGTAACGACAATCAAGTTGAATGAAGATTAAAAAATTCATTAGTCTAATTCAAGGTGAAAATTATTCACAAAAAAGGAACGTAGAAACCAATAATTCCGCTACTAATGCTAATAATGGTAACAGGGTTAAGAGAGAATTTAAAGCCTCTGTTGTGTTACCATACAAGGAAGATATCTCAAAAGCATTACGAAGAATTCTCAGTAAGGCTAGCTGGGATTAAAGTGGCATTCAAACCAACAAACTCGCTTAGAAACAAGCTTTGTAGGTTAAAAGATTCTATTGATGCAATTCAGCAAAATAATCTGGTTTACCAGAAAGATCCCTTGCAATGGTTGCAAGGTCAAGTACATAGATCAAAGCAGTCGACCAGGGTCGATTAGAATAACGGAGCACAAAAACTTAGCTAAATCAAGATTAATAGATCGTAATAAGATAAGAAATCTAGAGAAAAGCTCGGCTGTAGCTCTGCATGCGATGACACACAATCACACAGTAGAGTGGGATAGGGTGACAGTGTTGAAAACTAACTTAGTTGGGTGATGGGAAGGAGAGATTGATAACCGAATCTTTAATATAAGCGTAAAACTTGGGCACTGTGGTAGAATGTAATTCCATATTAGATTTGTTTATTTGATATAAAGCGCACAGTGATACAGTATTATTTACTTGATTACGTTTCGAGCATAAATTATTGCTCATAATCATATCAATGTAATCACACTTCTTTCGATATCTGATTTTATAGTCCTGTCACCTGATTTCTCTTTGTTTTTTTGATTGGTAGTAAAGTTTTCCATATCTCTGGTATAGGTGTTGCGTCATTCCTATTACATGTGTTGGGTGTGGATTCGATGAACAAAGATTCAGTAATTAATCTCTCTCTCCACCTAGCTATATTAGACTTAAGTACAGTGGTTTTGTCCCATCCTATTGTGTGGTTGTGTGTTAATGAATGTAATGCAATGGCTGAGTGTTTTTCTAGGTTATTGATCTTATTGGGGTCTGTCGTTCTATGTTTAGCTAAATTCCTATGTTCTGTTAATCTAACTGACCCCGACCGGCTAGTTTGACCTATGTATTTGACTTCACAGTCATTACATGGAATTTGGTAGATTATATTATTTTGCTTAATTGGTTCTATCGGATCTTTTAGCCGACAAAGCTTACCTCTAAGTGAGTTTGTTGGTTTAAATGCCACCCTAATTCCAACCTTGTTGAGAATCCTACGTATGGTTTCTGATGTTCCTTCCTTGTATGGTATCACAATAGAGGTGTTGATTTCCTTTCTACTTATGTTGTCACTATTATTTGTATTTGTATTAGTGTTATTATTTTGCTTCTTATGTGTCCGTGTGAATTTCTTAATAAAATGATGGGGATAATTATTAGTTATTAACGCTTCTTTTATGTGTTTCAATTCCTTATTTAAGTCCTTACAATGACTAGTGAGTTTCTCAGCTCTGTTATTTAGACATTTGACTAAACCCGCTTTAACTGACACTGGATGAGATGACTTGAAGTCTAGATACCTGTTAGAATGTGTTGGTTTTCTGTAGACGGTAGTATCTAAACCACCATCTATCCTTCGTTTTATTCTGCAATCCAACATAGGTAATTCTCCTTGTTCATTTTCTACTTCGTAGTGAATTGGATTGCGTTAACTACTGAGTTTATGTGTGTCAAGAAACTGTCGATATGTTCCGATTTCAACACTGTAAATGTGTCATCTACATATCGCCACCATATCTTAGGTGTCGGATTATATGTTCGTAAAGCCATATCTTCCCAACTATCCATAAATATATCTGCTACTATAGGGGATATTGGTGATCCCATTGCTACTCCTTCTGTTTGTCTATATCTTTCCCTGAAACTTGAAGACTGTCGAGGTTAAGCATAACTGCACTCCTAACATGATTTCACCAACCGATGCCTTGGTTCTTTGAGTAAGTTGTGAGTCAGTATCTAGTTGATTTCTGACTGCCTCCAGTGCCATATTGATTGGTATTTTAGTATAAAGACTTGTTACGTCAAAACTAACCATTTTTTCATCCTCTTCTATGTGCAGGTCATTAAGTTTTTGTTTCAACTCGTAAGAATTTACTAGTCTAGAGTTGGAACGGTCTCTAACAGGACGTAATACTGATGCTAAATACTTTGATATCTCATATGTTGGTGTGTTCCGGAAGTCAACTATCGGCCTAATGGGATAACCTGCTTTATGAACCTTAATAGTACCGTAAATTCTGCTAGGATTATTAGTTTTTGGCATTAAAGTAAACCATTCGGACTTACCTAGAGATGGCTTCAGTCGGCGTATCAGATCTGCTGTTTATCGAATCAACACCAAATACATGCAGTAATAGAAATGATTGTGCACCTGTCCCAGATATATGGAAAATTCTACTACCCTTGTCATCATAGAGAAGGAAAGAAAATTAGGAGTATATAAAGTCTGTCTCGAAGTTGTGGAGTCAGTTACCTGATATGAATATGGACAATAAATTGTGTCCAAAACATTGTTCAATAAACACTACTGTTTCACCGTGTGATATTTCTAATAAACAGACTAAAATGGAATTACAATCAACCACAGTGCCTAAGTTTTACTCTTATATTAAAGAAACCAACATAGTTAACCGGATAGAATATACAATTACATAATAGGCGAAAATGATTTTCAAGATAAAACATGATCAATGGAGGCATGGAAACCAAATGAAGACGATTTTGGCCTATTCAAATATATCATAAAATACAACAAAATTGTGAATAATAAGAGAGAGAGATGCTGGTTGACATATTGTTAACAAGGTAGCAACAAAGGTTGTACAAGTTTCTTTTGTACACACATAATTCTGGTTTCTTCATGCATATATAGCAATAGCTTCTGCAGTACAGAGATGACGGAAATGCACCATTTTTGACAAGTTTCTTTTCATCTTGTAAATGACTTTGAATGCTGAATCAGTTGGGATGCTGTGATCAGTGTTGATAAGGTGTTCAATTATTACACTTCTGACTGCTCTACAGGAACAGATGAATTGATAGACACACATGAAAGTGGTCAGAGGCAGAAGCTTATCCTCAATGTTGATGCGAGTTTGAATTTCTTTTTTTCAAGATATCAGCAGTGAAGTCACCTTTGAAGTCAGAATTCATGTATAGTACCTTCTTTGAAACTGAAATGGATATCTCTCTTTGAAATAGTGGAGAATATTTGTAGCTCACGTGGATGGTCTTGGTAGTATTGTGTTCTCTCAGCTGGATTGTTTAGTCGGGGAACTTTCATCATCTTTCTAGACGACATCATCATCAGCACTAACTTCAGTATGAAGTGAGCTGTCAATATTGCTCCATGAGTGATTTAGTAGCTTGTCTTGACGACGTGGTCTGTGATTGGTTGTTTCCTTTGACTGTTGTGTCATTGACCGAATAGATTTTCTTGTTGACTGTCCCTCTGCTTGACCTCTGGCCTTTCTGTCGTTTATCATCTTTCTTATTGGTTGAACGATTGGATCTACGTCTATACATCTGTTGATTACTGACTGACTGACCTGAATGCCAAGCTTCACGGAGAAACGAAGAAAATTACTTGATTTCCACCCTAAAGAAGAACGCCTACCCATC